AAATTAGAGAAAAAGGAGGGCTGCAAGGAAAGCCAACATTTTGGCCCTAGCCTTCCAAGGTCAATTAAGACTCAGGACATATGAGAACTTGTACTGTTACATCATATAACTCAGTAGTGCACCAAATTTTCTGATCAAGGATACTATGGAGCCAAAGAGGAAAGTGATCGATGATGTAGAGTGTGCCTAAGGAGAATCACATGGAGAGAAAACATTCTCTCAGGCTTTCACAGAGAGCACATTGGCCAAGCAATGGCCGTGACTCATCCCCATGGCTGACACTGACAAAGGTTCTATAATCTGAGGTACAGTATCTCAGGATAAATCCTGAGGGGATTTCACTGACCTTATCACACCCAAAAGCTACAATTCTTGTTGCATAGGTCCTGCTTTACCTTGGTCTTAACCATCCAGCAGAAAAGTATAAATACAAAATATAAGAAGTAAAGCCATGCTGTTACGTTGAGCTGTAGGGGACTCAGGTCAACAATTTCTGACATTGCCAGTCAAGCAGAAGATCCCTTACTATTATGGGCTACTGGACTTTCTAGAATATTTTGCTGAGTTTACACACCTATAATATTCAAATAACGGAACTTAACAAAAAAAAGGGATACAGATGAATGTCTATTTTGTATCTGTGTATTCAAAGTGGTTAGGATAGATATATAGTTTCATTCTCCTAATGAACAGAGGGATTTGTTCTAATGGTGTTTGTAAATAGGATATCATGTCTGCATCTTGTACAGCAATTAACCACTAAGAAGAATGTATGCAATGTGTTAATTATTGAAACTCTCCTACCAATTTGGTTTGAAACTGTCTCATTGCTATTTGTTTCTCAGTAAAATTATGGAAAAAATATATAAATAAAATATATAGGAAAAAATTAATCAATTTTGTTAGTTTTTACATAATTGAATTTCTTTTAGTTTTATCAAATAAATTTTCCCAAATTTAAATACTTAAATTTGCGGGTAGTAGTTCTATATTTGTACAATTCTGAAAACTCTGTTATAAAAGATTAGCAGACTCTGAGAGTTTTGCAGATCAGAATTTTACAGTTTTGCTTCCTTTTAATAATTGATCTTATCCAAGGCTTAAGAGATTCTTGCATCCCTTTCCTTTTTTATATAATTCAGAACATTTCTGAATTTTGCTTTGTTTTTTTGTTCTGTTTCATTTTCATGAAGATGCAGGGGATAAAGGTATTAAGCCCAGGACCTTCACACTGAGTTACGTTGTCATCCTTTTCATATTTTATTTTATGGAAGGATCTTGCTGAGCTCTTGAGTCACCCAGGCTGAGCTCCAGCATCCCGCCCTCCCAGCATACTGGGATCACAGGTTCCATCACACTCAGCAACAGAACATTGCTTATTGTGAAGTTTCACCACACTAGACTAACCATTTGAAGAATCATACTATGGAGCTTAATTTATGCTACATAATTTCTATAGTTGATTCATATTATATTCCTCCACCTCAAGAATACAAACTTTGCCAGGTATTCTGGCATACAATCTTAATTTCAGCATTCTAGGAGGCTGAGGCTGGCAGGAATTTCACGATTTTGAGGCCAATTTAAGAAACTTATCAAGACTTCGAGATCAAAAGTAGAGATCTCTGTACCTAACAGATATTTTGATTGTTGCTCTCAATCATATGAGAACTTTGAAAAATGAATATTTGTTCATTTGTTTAACTTCTGTCTTTATTTCTCAAGAAAAAAGTATATATATAGAAATGATCCAGTGAATTATTAAAAGAATATACGGTGTAGGGTCACACACACATAGCAGGATTAGAGGTAACCAGAGTGCCGTGGCCAGGCTGTGGTTTCCTTAGGCTTTAAAAGAGTGGAACAAAATACTGGGATTTTGCTTAAGCAATGAAAGTTGGTTGTGATGTGCAGGAAGTGCCAGTGAAGGAAGTCGAAATTTAATTTACAATTCCCAAGAACAACAAAGGTATGACCATAACTGTAGCAGCATTTTTAAGTTAGGTTATCTGCAAACAAATAAAGGTATAATTACTAGCAAAAATACGGTTCTACTCATTCTGCATGTATTGCTAATACATGTCATAACAATTCATTCTATATTCTGTGATTACTAAATGAATCTTGTGAACTAAATAAATACCAGTCATGGACAAAAATAAATAAATAAATGAATATAACATTTTGAGATACAATAACAGGATTCTGCCATGGCTGAGAATGTGGATAATAGAGTGTTCAATAAACTGATCACTATATCTTGCTATGGCAAATGCAATTGCAATTGTTAATGTTGCAATTTATTGGAGTACAGTGCATTTTACCCATTTTAAATTATATTAATCTTTGGGTAGTTGACAAATATTGAAAGTCATGTTATAGCTTCTTTTAGCATAAGAAGAGGGAAAGATTTTTATATTTATTGAGGGTTAAGAGGAAAAGTTAAAGGGTACTGATATTTATTGGTCTTTTTTATATTTTTTTCCTGTCCTTCCATTCTAGACCTCCCAGTAAAAGGGATTTACATGTTGTCTGGGGGGTCTTGTGGCCTAATAATCTGGCTAACATCATTCTCCTCCATAAAATATTTTTAGTTCCTGGAAGGCCATATTTTATATATTATCATAATAAGGGGAAGATCTTGAGATATACTTTTATGTATGTAGTACTAACATAATTGAATAGTGAAAATTTAGAATAAAAAGAGAAAATAAATTGATAGCTTGGGTGATTAGAGGAATCGTGTTATTAGATGAGGCGGGAAACAGATACAGCTTGTTCTTGTGAAATTTCATTTTCAAATTGTTAAAGGACCTTGAAAATGCCAAAGAAAAATTATCAAGACAGATTTTCATTATCATATTTCTTCACGATATTTACAAACTAGATGAAATGGATCATCTTTCAACGTTATGCCTTATTTTCTAGCTGTGCAACTCTCTTTCTCTCTGTCTCTGTCTCTCTGTCCCTGTCACTCTGTCTCTGTCTCTCTGCCTCTCTGTTTCTCCCTCTCTCTGTCTCTATCTCTCTCTCACATAAATGCACATACAGATATCCCTAGATTCCTTTATTTTCTATTTTTATTATTTGTATATATTTATGCATATAGTAATTGCATTCATCTTGGGAAATTGGTAAACGTACAAATCACACCTTGATCATCTCTCAGGTTCTTTGCATTGACAGCTCAGTGTGAGCAAACTTCAGAGCATCATAAACATGATTCTTGGAATAGTTTTATAATTCCAGAAGCAAATACATGTTTAGTGTGAGAAAAGAACGTAATCAAAAAGTAAAATAGAAATTATAGAAAAACCAAAATAGAGAACAGAGAAGCCTAAACACTCTGTTCCCAGTAAGGATTGCTAAGCAGAAAGACCAAAGGATCTTCATGTGATTTCCTAGAATCCACACTGAATAGTTTTTCAGTGTCAATGTAAAGATCGATAAAGGCATGTTTCACCCCATAAAGATGTATTTCCACAGAGAGAGAAAGAAAAATTCTCAGCACACTGATACACTCTACTCTTGACCATTGCATTACTGAGTAATGAGTGAAGAATAATCCACTTCATAAATATTAAGTTAGGAGTTGTGACACAACAAATAACTTTGAAAATAGCTTATAGAAATAAAATGTTCTTACTCTAAAATTCTTTGATAAGTTATTGAAATTTACTTCTCATGGTAGTATCTTAGAGGATGCATTGTCACCTCTTAATCTACAAGAACGACTGAAGATTTTGGTTTCAAAGCCCATATACTACTCTTGTACCACTGATTTTTTGTTGCCAATTTTCAGTATTACTCTGTATGTTTTGACTATAACATGCTATCCATTGGCTATTACTACATAGAGTATTTGCTATATTTAATAGAGTAAATTTCATCAGTGTTCTTATTTTGTCATAAACCTGCTGTCGGGGAGATGGCTCAGTAAAATAAGCACTTGCCTGGCAAACGCAAGGGACTGAGTTCAATCCCCAGTTCAGCAAAACACACACACACACACACACACACACACACACCACACAAAACAAAACCTGCTGTTGCTGGTCTCTGGAGAATTTTGTTCAAGGAAAAGGTGTAAATAAAGATTACTGTGTACATACAGATTGCTTCACTTCAAAGAAAATGAAAATAAAAAATATGCACAACGAATTTGTTTTATTAAAATTGTTCTGGTTTTGTTATTACAGAATGAAATTTCTATTTTTGCATGATAATTGTTAGATTATATAGGTTCTTCCAATAGTTCACAAATTAAGAAGGATATGTTCTTAATTCCTTTTTTAGAAACACTCATTTAAAGGGATGTGTATGGCAAGAGGGAGATATTTCATACAATTGCATAAAAATAAACTTTGTACAAGCAATTTTGCAAAAATTATGGATGTTGGTGCATTGGTAAATAAATGAAAATTTTGTTCTCTTTGCTATTCTGTATCACTGTCACAATATAACGTGTTTACCTGTGTGCTAAATTAAGCACTGCCTGTTTCTTATCACTGAATAAGTGCATTTAAGCTTATTAAATTGGTTATGGTGCAAGTTATTTTCACTTTTAACTAATTTTCTTTTTCTTTTCTCTTTTCTCTCCCCAGAACCAAGGATATGACAAATTCAATCTGTTAATTTTTTCTTCTCAATTTTAAACGTTGGTTGTTTAAGACTGAAGTAATCATGGTGAACTTCAGGAATTTGGTGCGCTCGTTCCTGTAAGGATGTTATTACTTATTATTTTAATGAAAAGATAATTTTTACGATAGCTTACTTAAGTATGTTCAAAATGCTTCTATATGACCAGTGTATTTTTGCCTCTGTCTATATAAATTACTCATCCCCGAAGATTAACATTATAGATGTTTCCTACTTCAAATAAGTAAGTGAGGGAAAAAAAAATTGGATTTGAAGTAAACATTAGAGGTTACACACTCAAACAAATCATGTGGTGATAATACTTTGAATCCAAATAATCCCAGTTCTCCTAGTTTTTCCATATGAGTAAAACTTAAAAAGGAGAAAAGTTTCTTCCTTTTTTAATGTGTCCTGAGCTGGCAAGTTAATAAGATTGTTCAATAAGCAATAAGAAGAATATGAGAAGCTGTAGAAGACCAGAAATTAAGTGTAAAATTGGGTGATGTACATAGAGAGGGGAAAATAATACCACCATCCTGAGAAGTCCTGATGTGATGATCTACTAGTTGAAATCAGTAGGATGCAACAGGAAAAGGGTAAGCAAAGGATCATGTGGAAGAACTAAGGGAGTCTAAATTTGACTTCATCTAAATCTATACTTGGAGCAATGGAGCATGGGAAAAGTGATGCAAAGCTGTATGAACTCTGATCAGTACAGCTGAAAAGACCTGCATCTCTTTACTCCTGCATAGCATCTTCTAGGTGAGCTCTGAAAAGGAGCTTTCTCAGGAAACTGTCTCCAGCCCAGAATAGTGTGCCAACATTGGATCCTCTGTGGTATGATACGAGGCTGCCTTAAAGGTGTCACTGTGTTCTACTGAGAAATTAAGGAATTCACATACAATTTTTTCCATTCTATGGGAGAAGCTACCATTTGTTTCCTCTATAAATGTGCATTGTCATACATTGTGCAAAAGCTCAGCAAATTTAAAATGAACTTAGGTTTGTTATTTAAATTACCATTTTATATATTTAGAATGTAAAATTATATTTTCCTTAAAATCTAGCAGTAGTGAATAAATTGTTTGCATTGTCTAGAGAGAAATTTTGATTTTCATTTATCTATTTTATGAGGTTCTGATGGGCTTCATAACAGTTAGTGCATGAGTAAAGTTCAAGAGTAAGACCCTAATGACTGTAGTTTTAAAAGGACTTTATATATTTCAGTGAACACATGAGTATTAAATGTTAGGTTTAATTAAATACTGCCAATTCTTGATTACAAAACTGTGGACACAGGATTGATGTGCAATAAAACCCTTGACAATAGGGGTACTGCACTAACTGGTTTTGAAACTGTCTCATCGCTATTTGTTTCTCAATAAAACTATTTAAAAAAAGAAAGAAGAGACATTTTTGTATTGCCATATAATGAAGACAACACAAGAGAAGCCTATGTATTTTAAAACTAAAAAAAAGGTGCTCCATAAGACTTAATTAAAATTTAATTTAATTCAAGTCAGGAAATGGAAATAAATATTATTTTCATCATCACTTTATTCTGCAGTTGACAAAAATATATTTGAATTTCACAAGACTCCTCAAAAATTTAATGTTTATTTTATGGACTCATAGATAGAAAGATAGATAGATAGATAGATAGATAGATAGATAGATAGATAGATAGATGAATTAGAGATAGATACATACTCCTTTTGTCACCATAAAATCCTGACATAATTAAATTATAAAATTTATATTTAGACATAAGTTTTCAGGTATGTTTTCATTATGCATGATTTTATCCTGAATTCCTCTACAACTTTTAAAAACATATGAAAAAAAATAGTTGTTCTCATAAAGTAGTTAAAAATGTGAAATTAGCCTGCATATTTTCCTATGATCTTATCATCTGGCCTTAAGGATAAATTTATTTGTAGCTCTGCCACTGATAACTGAAAGCATAGTTTATTACTTGAGCATTAAATCTTATGGAAATACATACATATGATGATCACTGACTAATCTACATGAGAATATTTTTAATGCAGCAGGACAAATCTTTTATCAATTAGGCCACAAAAGACCCTGAAAAATACCCTACAATTACTGTTTGAAGGGGCTGAGGGCTAGATTGTGTGCTTAGCATGCACAAGGCCCTAGGTTCAATCCTCAACACTAAGCTAAACTAAACTAGAACACAGTAAATTAAAATGTAAATTGAAGTAATCATCTGACCCCAGTTCTACATAGATAGATATCATTTTGAAAAAAGAAGCATTTCTCTTTATTTGCAAATTTTTAAATATCTGAGTTAGTATTTACCAACCATAAAATTCTTTTGGTTAGTTTTGAAATCAAGTTGTCTTAGCTATTTCATTAATGAAAATAAGTATGTTAGTTTTATTAGCCAGTTTAAGCGCTTATCCTGTGGAAGAACTCTTATGCATGTAATTTGAGCACAGTAATAATCAAGGAATTATGAGGGAAAATTGAAATGTGAAAAATCAACAATGTCTATCTCTTTTCCATTAGACTACCACCTACCCTGAAAGTTCTCCCAGAAAAATCCACCTAAATACCAATGAATACATTTTAATTGACTGAAGAGGTTTAGTTCCTAGTTCATGAAATGTAACATACCCAGGGCGTTAATCATCACCACAAATCTTTACCTAGCCTACAGCCGGTCCCAGAAAACATATGACACAAAGAGGAAACTGACAAATACCTGGAAAATTTATTGCTCAAGAAAGGAAATTTGGCCTTGGAACATAGATGGCTGAGTGCACTGACTTAGCACACGCAGGGCTCTGGGCTTGACCCCAGCATCATAAAGAAAAAGGAGTTGTTGTCCAGCATGAAGTCAGTCTGCAAGTGTGAGATGGTAGGAAGAGCACTAAAAAGAGATGAATATGAGCTATTGTCAAAACCCACTGTGCTGCTTTCAAACACTTTCCTGAAGTTGCCTATATGGCAAGTTATTTTATCCTAGCTTTGGATCAAAAAACAAGGAACCTCTAATTTTCTTGTCAGGCTACTGGATCATTTAGGAAAATGATCTTCATTCTCTTGTCAGCTGTCTGAAATGATATTTCAATAAAATTAATATTTTTTTTAAATATCAAGAATAGCAGGGACTGGGGAGTTAGCTCAGCAGAATAAGCACTTGCCTGGCAAACGCAGGATCCTGAGTTCAATCCCCAGTACAGAAAAAAAAAAAAAAAAAGAATAAACTAGCACTACAAATTGAACAACATTGTGGGTTATTGTTGCAATACAAGTTTTGTTTTTGTTTTTTGGGGGGGGTTTTTGAGGTTTTTTTGTTTGTTTGTTTGATTGTTTGTTTTTCGGAACCGGGGATTGAACTCAGGCCCTTGCGCTTGCCAGAGAAGCACTTATTCCACTGAGCCATCTCCCCAGCCCTGTAATATGTTTAGAACATAGCCCTGGAAATCAGTGAGATTTTAGTATGTACCTTGACCCTGCCACATACTGGCTTAAGATAGGTATTCAACTCTGTAAACTTGAGTCTGCTCAATTTATATAAAGAACAAAAATCAGTACTGAGCTCATGTGGTGTTATATAAAATCAAGAGATTATATGCAATTTCAACAAAGTATATGACTAACACATAATAATCAGACAATGTAAGTATAGAGTGATATTGAAGTTTAATTAGGAGAGTAAAAATAGTGACCAAGCTAAGGAAGATAACGAGGATGATCATAGTTGTTGAAGGAGAGGCTATTGTCTTATATAAGCAATATACTGTGTAAAAGTAATATTATATATAGCTGATTGATTTTTTTTCTTTTTCTTCTTAATTTTCAGTGTGCACCTAATTGGCCTGTTGGTTTGGCAATTTGATATTTCTGTGAGTCCAGTGGCAGCTATGGTAACTGACATTTTTAATACCTCCAATGGTGGACGCTTCAAGTTTCCAGACGGGGTACAAAACTGGCCAGCACTTCCAATTGTTGTCATAATCATTTTGACAATTGGTGGCAACATACTCGTTATCATGGCAGTGAGCATGGAAAAGAAACTGCACAATGCCACCAATTACTTCTTAATGTCCCTCGCCATTGCTGATATGCTAGTGGGACTACTTGTCATGCCACTTTCTCTGCTTGCCATCCTTTATGGTAAGTACAACTCTTTCAGCTTTTCACACTCCCATTGTACTGTAAATCTGTCCCACGTGTCATAGTAAACACAAAGTTCATTATTTTACCTATAGCATTTTGATTTTGAAGAAAAGAACAAAATATGTGGCAGAATAAATTGATTGTATGTCTTAGATTTATTAAATAGATCAGAGTTTTCAAAAAGGAAAATGAACATTTATGCTATGTCGAAATTACATATAGATGCTTTATTCTTCAGTATCATTTGTATATAAGAAATTACCAGTTGTACAGAATGAGATAGTGCCCATGCAGCACATGAACCATCACTAATACCAAAAAAGGAAAATGGGTCTCCTTTATTTATTTTTTTTTTGAGACAGGGTTTTGCTATGTAGTTCAGATTGGCCTCAAATCACAATGATCCTACTGCCTTAGCTTCCTGAGTTCTGGGATTATAGATGCACACCGCTGCGCCTAGCTCACCTTCTTCACTACATTTTAGGTAGTCCTTGGTTGCTGTGGGGGGAGATTTGCTTAACATGGAAAGCAGGGCTTCATGCATGCTAGGCAAAACCTCTACCACGGAGCTACATTCCAGCCCTAAATAATCCTTTTTAATATTGACAAATGAAGTAGTTGACAGGAAATAAGCATTCAGTCATAACTAATCTTCTTAATGTGGTCCAAGATTCATAATTTTACAGGAACACATGTTATAACAAAATTAATTAGCAAGTGCATAATTGCAAGTTCATACCATCTTTTAATAAAAGTTCAGCCATTAAATATTTCACTACATTAATAATTAGGTTCCAAATTTTTCATTTGATTTTTCCATCCCTTCTAATCATTTTAACCTATGTTTTATTTTTGGATAATAATTATGATAAACAATCAAAACAACATACTGTTCTACAAGTATCTTTTTATTTTTTTTTTCCTAGACAGGGTCTTGCTATGTTTCCCAGACTGGTCTCAAACCTCTAGACTCAAGGGATCTTACTTCTGCCTTGGTCTATGCTTAGCTCTCTAAGAGTATCTTTCTAAGGCTGGGGAGATAGTTCGGCAGTCTCAGGACCTGCCTGGCAAGCACAAGGACCGGGTTCAATCCCTGGTACTGCATTCCGTGCCATCCAGAAACCCTGGATGCTCCATGACGCTGGGGAGGCTAAGACAAAAGGATTACTGCGAGGCTGAGCTGTGCAGTGAGGCCCTGTACCAAATAAATGAATAAATAAAAGATTTTTTAATTAAGTTTTTTTTCTAGAAAATCAAAAATCCCAGCTTGAGTTTAATTGCTAATATACTCATCTCGCATAAAAGTAAAATAGACTTTCAGTCCCTTGGAGGATACAAAGGAATCATACCATAAAGAATATTATTGAAAATGTATATAGTTTTTAAATCCTAAAAGAACTTCAATAGGCCTAGAAAATACTCTCTCATGAAACTTAAAAATTAATTAGTTGCCTAAATGTACAGGATAAACTGTGGCAATACATCACCTGAATAGTTATTTTATAAAATGTTCTTAGAAGATGTGCTTTTCCTATCTTTATTGTGTTTCAGTGATATATCAAAAACAAAGTATCAGTATTTTACCTGCTCAATGCATATTTTGCCACTCTACAGCTCCAAAATTAATTAAGAAAGGGTTACTAAAATGAAGTAATCCTGTGATTTAAAATGTATACACTGTCCTGTGATAAATGTTTCATTTTACCACTTTCTCCCTTTAAAACATATGTAGAGGGCCTGCCAAATAGCCCAGTGGATTAAAGCAACTTCAAGCAGGCACAGGGACTGAGGGTTCAATACCCGGGCCTGCCATGCTGGCTCTGCTCCCAGGGCACACTGAGAGGGCAGTTGAGACTGGGCGTGGTGGCATGAGCCTGTAATCCCAGCTCTTGGGAGGCTGTAAACAGGCGGATCACTACAAATCCAATCTAGTAGTGAGACCCTGAACACCCTGTACACCCTTCCCTAAAACACAAAAATAAGGTAAAATAAAATAAAACATATGTAGAAGGCCAAATAATGACATTACCAATAATCTAAGTTGTCTAAAATATTTACTCTCCACCTCCACAAGTTAAGGACACACAGGAGAACAATAACAAATAATGCTGCACAATACCACCACCAAGTCCAAGCAACATTCAACCTCAAAATTATGTTTAAGTACCCAAACAAATAAGAAACCTGGAGCCATCACTGAGGCTCCCACCTCATACTGTTAAGCAGAATAAGGATAGTCCAGGGAAAAGTGTGAGACAGAGGCCAAAAGAAGGGTTATTAGAAAACATAAGCTAAATCTAAAGTCCCTACAAGATCACTATCAGTAAAATAGACTGATAGTGAATTCCAAGAATGAAATTTTTCTCTTGAAGATCATTTAAAAGTATGCAAAAACTGCTTTCCTGAAAAGGCAGTCTTGATCTAGATGTGGAGATACAGGCCAGAATCCTAGCTTTCTGAGAGGCTGACAGCACAATGACAAGTTAAAGCCCAGACTGAGTAACTTAGAGACTGCAGGAGACCCTAAAATAAGAAGAGCTGGGGATGTAACAGTGCAAAGGCCCTGGGTTCAATTCCTAGTACAGGGCAAAAAAAAAA